CCCCCACCCCAAAAAAAACAAAAAAAAAACGTGTCTTCTGTCAATAACTATAGAAAAGAAAAATATTTAAGTCTTAAAAAGAATATCATTTGTGCTTAACAAAATTAATTAAAAGCTAAGTTACATATAAAAAATCATGTCAGGGGAATTTTTTTTTTTATTACTAGAGTTTAATGAAAAATTGTTTCTTGCTTGTCAGTACATAATGCAAAGATTGGTTGAAAGTAAAAAAGAAACAAAAAATTTCCAATGAAACAATAGCTTTCATTAAAAGGCCAAAACAACTTAAAAAAAAAAAGTCTTTGTAGAAACAGAAATAATTTAGCTAGTATGACAATTCTTTTATTAAAAGACAACAGTTTCTTTTCCATGCTAAAAATCTAAATGTAACTAATGCTATCTCAGTCTATTCACAATAATACAAGAAAGGGTTTAAATTTTTTTTTTTTTTATACAATTTTCTTTATAGGCATTTTTTTTCATCCTCTAAAAAGCCTTGATTTTTTTTTTTTCCTTATAGAGATTTCAATTTTAACTAGCAATATGTAGCTAAGAAATACCACTTGGGAGAAATATCTTTAGAAATAAAAAAACAAAATTTAGACAATTACTGATATCTTAAATGCCAAATTTCCACCATGTTTGTGAACATGTACAACTTATCAAAGTAAACTTTTCAATAATTATTTTTTAAAGAGTAGATATTAGATGTATTTACCCTTCTAATTCAACTAGAACTGTTTATAATACCTAGTAAATGAATATGAAAAGTCTAGTAATTTTCTCAAAAGTACAAAATTATTTTCAATGTATTGTTACAAGTGTGCAACACATACCCTAGCCTTTATTTATTCTTAATAGTTGGTTTCATTGGTCTTCTATAAACTTGTGTACATTGTTTAACCAAAAGGAAAAATATTTTGGATTCATTGTTATGATGAATATGAGAAACACTACAAGGATTGATTGATTTTACATGTCAACACTTGTTGGTTTATTTTATGTTTAATTTTGTATGGATGCACAGAGTGAGGATCTAACTTAAATCAGAAGTAGTGGTCAACCAGACTAGCACTGCTAACCATTACACTATATAGAGGAGTCTGAAAGAGACATCTTGGTCATTTAAGTAATTATTGTAATTCAATTATATGATACAAATCTTTCAGTGTCCTTAGAATGCTGAAAAATTCTTGGTCAGTTCCCTTTCCAAATGACCACACGTCAGAATTATCTTTGGAATTCCTTCTTATAGATTTAGGACTCTTAAGATATAGGCAAAACAAAATTTAAAACATTATGAATTCTGAATCAATATACCAAACCATATTTAACATTAGAGATTGAGTGGGGAGGGGGTTGAGAAAAAAAAATTTGACCAGATTTGAGAATTCAAATTTAACTTGTGATCTGACTACACAACACATCTACGATATATTTTTTTCTGATTGGATTAGATTTGGGTTCTATGATAGAAGTATTTTTACTTATGAATATCTAGTCTTAGTCATTACAATGGAAATCAAATGCAATAAAATATTCATACTATATTTAGATGAGCAATCTGGAAAGGATTAAGCAAAAATTGCAAAGTCAGGTTTCAATGATGTACATGTATAATAGCATAAGAGTATTAAAATCTACTAAATTTTCCAATCTGATCTAACTCCAACTACATACAAATCTTCCAGCTTTAAGTTATTGTCTTGTAACTAGTATTAACCCAAATATGTTTAAGTTTTACACAAAATTTAGCAGAGAATATATCAAGTAACATTATAAAGAAGGTCATTTGGCTTTAACTCGACAAAATACCCTATGCATATATGGATGTACATTTTATTTTACTCTCTTATATTACAAAAGCTTAATTGAGGATTATAAATAAAAAAAAATTATAAAAGTTATGAAAGTGACAAAATTAACAAAAAAATTGCTGAAAAACAAAAATTAAAAATTAACAGCTCGTTTCGAAAAAGATTCATCACTGAAATACAAAAACCCACTACCATCAACAAAACAGCGAACAGGAAAAACATTTTATTTATCAATTGAAATTAAAGTACGAGATTTTACTTTCCTTTCTAAAAACCATTATTTGTAGTATTAGTAATTTGAAGTTAAATGAAAATTACCATTTTATTATTTTTTTTTTTTTAAAAGTAGTTTTAATACTTAAATAGAGTAATTTTTCCTTCTAATATATGAAAAGCTTTGGCACATTTTACAGTTTTAGTTACAGAAAAAAATTGAGCAGTAAGAATTATACCAAAATGTTTAATAGCTTTTAGACTAAGAGACAAGCACTGCAGAATTAAAATAGAAATTATAATGATGTTAATAATTAATAAGCTATAATATCAATTTTTTTTGTAATAAAATAGGTTATGGGTTTGAAAATTTAAAATAACAGTAGTAAGCATACAATACCAAAACATTTGCATGGATTAGGAGATTAAATTTTATATAATAATCATTTTTAAAAGAATTTTTACCACTCAATGTCAGTTTTTAAGAGGATTTTTGGAAGCAATTGAAGTACAAAAGCAAAAAGAAAGAAAGAAAACTGGCAGGTTGGGAAAATTTGATAATGAAAGCAAAAAGATAATGACAAAAATATGCAGATATTTTAGTAAAGAAGAGATGATGACAGAGGAAGATGTTAAAAGCTACATATTCATGCCAGGTGAAGAAACTGAATTCCAATGTTTCCAGTTTTTTCAATAGTAGACTCTTGAAGTCATGGAAAATCATAACTTGTGCCCAGCACTCAAAACAGTGGTAAGATGAGATGCAAAATCAATCCCAACTGTAATAAAGTGTGATCTGTGCTCAAGTTCCGAACCATGGTAAGCCATAACTCAATTGCCATTAAAAGAAAAATTGGCATCAGCGGGAGAGAGGGAGATGAATAAACTCTTGTAATTAGAAATTATATCAATCTTCAAACAACAGACCCGAAATTGGGGTCTTACACTTAATCTGGGAACCACAAAAATAAATAAATAAAAAAATAAATAATAGAGTCAAAAGATGGGAAACAAGTCTGAGAATGGATTCTAAAGTGTTTTTATTATTTATTTATTTTTTTAAATTTTTCTTTTGGGTGGAGGAAAGGACTTTAGAGGAAAAGAAAAATAACAAAAACATATACAAGGTCATGTCATTACAAATCAATTAAAAAAAAAAAAAAAAAAATTCAGACAATGACAGCATTAAAAAAAAAAAAAAAAAAAAAAATACTTAAAACTTGAAATAAAAAGATTGGCATTCAAGGGAATGAAAGAGAGAGTAAAAGAGAACCATGATTTCATATTTGCAATTCAATATCCAAAAACATTGAAGAGGTTAAAAGAGAGGTTGCATACAGGGGAAAAAAAAAAAAAAAAAAAAAACGAAAAGAAAGTCATGCACTAAAAAGAAACAAAAACAGGAATTAAAAAATAAAAACAGGATCAACTTTAAGAAAATTTTAGGTATAAGGAAATAACTTATTTTCAGTTAAATTTCTTTACAATGTCCGGCACCATTAAAGAAATCTGAATTTTTAATCCTCAAAAAAAAAAAAAAAAAAAAAAAAAAAAAAGAGGTAAACATTGTCAAATAAGTGTAGGAGTCGGGTAGGACACTTTTGCTTGAATAAATCGACTAGATAAACACAAACACATTGATCTACCATACCTGATAGAAATAACTGAGGTACAGACTGTGTGTTGATGTCTGAGAAAGATTTAATGAATAAGAATTTGTTTTAAATAAATAAACACTTTGATAAATAAGGAACAATTTAGGAAATGTAAAATAAACAAAAGGAGATTATTTAAAAAAATAAAAATAAAAAACTAATAATATTTTACTAAAACACTTGCACACAGACTCAGAGACAAAGATCCTCTTAGCTATAAAACATTTTAAGTCGAAAAGACATGGAACAAATAACAATTTTCATTGAAAAATGTCATTTTTTTTTTTGTTTAACATTCTCAGTTTTCACTTTCATTTACAAAAGTTTGTTTCTTTTTCAGTTTGGGGAAATTTAAAAAAAAGGTTCAAATTGTACAAGTAAATAAATAAGGACTACTGTAAAGGAATCATTTCATTGCAGATTTTGAGTTTCGAGATAAGGAGTATTGAATCATTGTTGAAAGATTTTGGACAGGAAAGAGAAATGGAAAAGGGGGGGAAGGCTCCACACCATTTCATTTGAAGATGATGAAATAATAGACTGACTGAAACATTATGAGTGGGTGGAAATTACATCCTAATAAACTTTCAACAATGACACAGTAAAGCCTCCTATAGTCCATTTAGTTACAGCAGATTCAGGAGGAGTTGTCATGCAATGCAGGAGCAGACAGAGTGTAATGGTTCTCATCATTTCAGTGATTATTTAAGGTTTTCTTTTTGCTCATTCAGTTTTTATTCATGATTATAATTATTTTTTTTTTGTTGTGTTTGTTATTTTATTTGTTGATTACCTTTAAATGTGGGAAAAATTTAATCATTTTAGGTGGTCTGTTCCCTGTTTTATAGATAAATAATTTTAAAAAAAATCTGTTTCTTTATTTTTGGTAGAAATATACACTATATGTATCGATTGGGGTCAAACAGCTTAATTATATTTTTTTTAGGGTTTTTACTTTTGGTTATTTATTTATTTATTTTTTTTTAATAGAAGCATCCCAATTATAAATGTTGAACAAAAATTTAATTATCTTTTTGCATTACCTTATGGAGTGACAGAAAGATAAAAGAAACAAATATAATGAAAAAACAAAAACACTCTTGTAAATCTGAGTGAACATGTGTATACATGGCGTGTATGTTCAGAATAAAACAGGGCAAATATTTTTGGTTCAGTATTTTCTTTTTTCTTTTAAAATGTCTGTTTAGATTATTGCAATATGCCATAAGTATCTACCCTCCTTGAAGGGAGACAGAGGATATTCAAATTTCTCAAATAGAGATTAGAAGGCCCAGAATAGTAGCTGGTCATATAATTAGATGCAAGGTTCCACATAATTGCCAGGGAAGAGCCCAGTAACACCATCCATAACCCCTTCCCACCAACCATCATCATTCTTCTTTATCACATAAATCACTGCATTCTCTGTGAAAGTAAGCTCATCTGCTTTGTCTGCCTGATAATCATAAATGGCCACCACTGAAAACAAAAACAAAAAATAAATAAAATCAAACACTTCTAGAAACACATCTTTTGAGAAAAAAAAAAAAAACTTTCAACCAAAATTTGGCTATCATCTTTACATTTCACAAAGACATGTTCATACAGAATATTTGTATTGAGTACTATATTCAATAAGTCAATTCAATTTTGAAACTACTCAGACTGTCATTCTACAGACCTTAGTTAATTACAGATTAAAAACAGCAACAAAAAACAGCAACAAAAAACAACAACAAAAAACAACAACAAAAAACAACAACAAAAAACAACAACAAAAAACAGCAACAAAAAAAAACAACAAAAACAGCAACAACAAAAAAACAACAACAAAAAAAAACAACAGTGTGACTTGGACTTGCAGCTTTTATCTCAGAAAGTATATCTTGCCATGATATAACTGCTCTTACAGGAAACAAAGGGAATTGAGTTTTAAAAAAAAAAAAAACAAAAAAAACATCTCTTTGTGGATTGTTTAAAGCTGAAACATTTTTTTTTCCAAATGAATATTGCATTAATAATTTTTAGAAGATAATATTTTTCCAGATACAAGTCCTACTATTTAACCCAGAGTTAGGGGGAGAAGAAAGATTCCTACCTTTTCCAAGGGTATTTGTACATAAGTGAATGTAATGACCTCAAACTCAGCTCTATGATTTCTCATTCCAAGCTATTATCCATTACAGAATCCGCAAATCCAAGTCAAAGAGGAAGCAAATTAGTTTTAATAAGTGCTTATAATTTATTTCTGATTTATGCTATTTACAACGATAGAATGACAATTTGAGAAGTTGTGATGAAAACCAACTGAAATTAAGATGAAAAAATACTAGTCAAAAATTAATAATGGACTCCCAATGCTTTATCAAAAAAAAAAAAAAAAAAAAAAAAAAAAAAGTATAATAAAAAGATAAAAATGTAAATTTTGTTCTACAATTAGGTTGATTCAAAAGTTTGCTCCATTTGGGAGGGGGACAAAACCTTTTATTACTATAAATTCTTAGCATAATTATTCAGTCATCAAAGTAGTTTTCCTATCTTTCTATAACTTTATGCCAGGTTTCAAGTCAATTGCATCATAAAGAATGATTCCAATTTTGATATCTTAAACTTGTTGAAATCATTGACCAAACAAGGAGTGTCATCTGGAGTAAAAAAAACAGTAGCCTGAAGGTTTGGAGAATAGGCAGTATGTGAAAGAAGTTTACACTTCAGTTCCATGATTGATTGCTGTATTGCATTTGTAAAACAAGGACAGACATTGTCACATAGAAAACATATCTCTCTCTCTCTCACACACACACACACACACACACACACACACACACAGGGTGCAATTGATAAATTGTAGTCTAAATTACACAAAAATGTAAATAACATTGGCATCTCATTTTAACAGATATATTTACCCAAATTACATAAAAATATCTTCAAATACTAAAGAGTAAATTTATTCAATAAAATCACCATTGGCTTCAACCACAGCCTCCAGATGACATAATCCTTGCTTCCAGTTCATCTTTGGTGTTACAAAGAATTTTGTTGGTCTCTCACTCAACTGTGCCCCACATATAATAACCAAAGGGGGTTACTGTCTGAGGAGTTAGGTGGCCAGAGTAAGGAGTGATGTAGTCACAGAAATTGCCTCACAGTTCTCCTGCTTGTGTGGCATGGTGCAGAGTCCTGTTGCCAGATATAGCGTCTTCCAGCAGCTACCCTCTTGATCCAAAGCAGCACTATATCATCAAGGCACTTGATGTAGGCCATGTTGAGTTTGAGGCACTCACCAACAAATTCAGGAGTTCTTTTATCAGAATGATCAGCTTTCATACCTTCATAATCACCATTAGACTCATCAAACTCTTTCCAAATCTTCTGCACTGTCCTCACCCAAACACTATGAAATGTTCATCATGAAGCTTCTGGTACAAATGCCAAGCAGTACAGCAATTTGTAATGAAGAATTTCCTTTGAATCCTGCCCAATACAACTTCCCCTCCCCACAGTAGATTCCATATACACAGAGATGTTGAAGGTTGTCCTGGATATAGCTACAATTATCTTCATTTTGAATTTTTGTAATACATTTAAAAAAAAAAAAAAAAAAAAAAAAAAAATCGCCAGTGATTATTATGACCAAAAACATCTTTTGTGGCAAGCAAGAAGAGAAAGACAAGTATTTAAACACTAACTGATATTCTTTTCTATTAATTCATGTAGAAACCAATTTTTTAGCTTCTGAATTTTTCCCAAGGTTTGTAAATGATGTACAATAATTGACATTATATAAGTAATAAAGATTTGAGTAAATTTCAAAAGCATTAACATCTTCCTAATGTTGTGCATATGATGCAACAGGAAACTTTCATATCAACTTAGTAAATGCAGAAATTCTTTCACAAATTCATCTTAAATTCTAGAAGATGGTAAAAAAAAAAAAAAAAAAAAAAAAAAAAATACAGCAAGAAAATTAAAATGAATAAGCTATTAGAAATAAAAAAGTCTTGCCTAAAGAAAGTTTGCCTATTACAGAATATAAGCTGTTTAATTTTTAGCGATTTTATAGGTATACATAGCAATAAATATTAAATTTTCAAGAAACCAATTTAATGGTTAATGTACAGGGTGAGGCAGATAAGATGGACATTTTTTAAATGGCTATCACTATTGGGGAGGGACTTGCGTCTAAAAGGTACAATTTGGTCCATGGTGACTTAGCGTTTTTTTTTTTCTTTTCAGTTAAAGTCACAACATTGTGGATGATAGCACACCACATGTTCACCTACAACAGTTTTGTGAAGAATAACAAATCTATCACAGCAGTTCAGTGTGAGTTTTGTCACCGATTCAACATTCACTGAAATCAGACTGTTCCCACTCATATGTTCAGTTCATGCACAAGGTACAGTAATGAATAGCAGGCTGGGTAATGAGGGGGAGTCTATGAACGGCACATACCTCAGAAAATGTGGAATGCATCAGACAAGCTTTGCTGTTCGATCCGAATCACTCTGCTTGAAGGCATGCTACTGAACTTGGCATTGATAATCATTCAGGAAGGCGTATTTTGCATAAAAAACTGCATTCCTAACGCTACAAATTGGTCATTGTACAACAGTTGAGACCAGAGGACTATACACAGTGGCTTAACTTCACATGTCAGATGAAAGCAATTTTTGAGGCAAATGACAGCCTTGGCTCCCTCAATCCCTTGGTTTGTCCATGTGTGATTATTTCTTGTGGGGAAACCTCAAGATACGTGTGTATCACAGCTATTTGACTAAACTTAAATAAAGTCAATTCAGGTTTGCTATGGTAAAAATTTTCTATCCAAAGTAAAAATCATCACAAAAATGGCAAAAATCATTTTGTCACAGCTTATTTTCTCTGAAGAAAATGGATTTTCATACTTTTATAGGGGTAAAATATTGAAAAATGACTGTTTTATCATCATCTAAACAAATATCAAGGAAACTTTTGATCTGAACCCCATGAAACTAGGTATTTTCTGAAAGCAAAGGATATATTGTTTCATTTAAAAGTAAAATTGGCTGGTATAAATGAGTCAAAATTTTTTTTCAGGGGGTAAAATGTGAAAAAAAAAAAAAAAAGTGAAAATTTTTCATTTTTCTAGTTCTAAACAAAAATTTTCCCCATTAATGGGAAATTAACCAATTTTTTTTTGAAAATCAGAAAGCCTAAATCATAACCAAATTATTTCAGGCATAAAATTGAGAGTTTTGAAGGAAATCAACATTCTAGGGGGTCAAAATGCAACAAAGTCTATTGGTAATTTTCAATTATATGACTGCCGGGGGGGTAAAAATCGACACCCGGCCACAGAAATCTTTAGTAAAAGATGAAAGAGTTATCTGCAATTCTTGACCACCAGAAACCAAAAGTTTTTTTGTTTTTTTTCAAAAAAATAGCAGCGATAAGGAAAATTAAGCCAAATTGACTTTGACATGTCTGGATCAAAAGTCAGCCAGCCAGCAATAAATGTTGTAGTCAGCTTGTAATAAAACCCACCACTCCCAGATAAGAGCAAAGAGTGAAAAAATCAAAAATCAAAAGTCAACATTGGTAGGGCTTGATATAAGGTTTGTTTTTTTGTTTTTTTTCAAACCCAATGGCTTGATGTGTTTTGTTTTTGTTTTTGACCCGGTGATGACAACAACACTTAGCAGACAACACTGTTTTTTTCGCCGGATGTCTTTTGTATTTCCCATTGCTGGGCCATTTAGTCCTTCCTTTTATTCAATGATGTTCACACCAAATTAAGGAGAAGGGGACAAAGTTTGAATGATGTTATTTTGAAGTGAAAAGAAATATTTTTTCATAAAAAAAAAAAAAAAAAAAAAAAAAAAAAGGTGATTTTTCTTAGAAAATTTAGCATAATTTCTTAATGCTAACCGCCAAGTGACATTTTCCACAGCCAAATCAAAGATTAATTACCAGTGAATAATTCCATGTGCAAGCAATAGCCATCTGGATCCTATAACGTCACTCGAAAAGGTCCTGAAGTTTACTGATTGATTGAAAACTTGTTGCGCATAATTGTGTTTTTCACGGTCAGTTTCTATTATTTCATCTTGATGTTGTCATTTTCAGATAGCCAAGTCATCAAGGATTCAGGAAAACAGCTTGGCATAGGATTGCTTTAAGGACTTTACATTCTATGAGGTATTTAAAATGTTACTGACAAATGGGATTTTTCACTGAATATTTTGTTTACGCCATGTTGGATTTTCCTATATGACAAAAACAAGGCTTTTAAACAGCCGTGGTAAGCCCCATACATTGGACAAGTTATTCACATGGAAGTTGCCCAAATCAACAAAGCAATGCTGGAAAGAGTGGAGGCCTACTTCCAGAATGCCTTCAGAAATGCATCAATGAAAACAGACCCCACATGAGGGTTGTTGTTTTCCACATTTTGAAGCTAAAATTAATGATGTGAATTTTTTGAAAACATCCATCCTCTCTGCTTCACCCCGTATATACTATCATGACACAATTTTGAATGTTTTGTGTATAAAGGTGAAAGAAGACTTATAAATGCTTATAAAATGTTTTACATTTTTTTAATAACTAAACCTCTGAAATTTGTAATAAACTAAAGATCTGTTCTTAATATAAAATTTTTATATAATATTATGAAAGCTAAAATGCATCAAGCAATAAAAGTGTTAGAATCTATTTACATTAAAATTAGCCAAGCCCTGTGTAGACAGGACTTTGTATTTTCACTTAACAGTATGAAGCATATTTGTCAGATATTTTTTCTTAGATCTTGCAATTTTAACTCCTGTTGTTCCCCCCACTTTTTTTTTTCTTTTAGATAAGACTTGATTATCAATTTTTTGGTATCTGATAGATTTTCTCTAAGAAAAAAGCTTTTAAAGATGTGTTAATAAAAATAGCACTAAATTTCAATTATGAATCCACTAATTTTGGCAGTTTTGGACTTAGCAAAAAATTAGAAGTAATGTCAAGCAGAATTTAAAAAGGGGAAAAAAAAAAAAAAAACACAAACAAAAGTACCTTTTTCTAAATATTTCTTTGGCATCCACTGTGGTTCAGTAAGATCTGGCCCTGTGGCTGCATATGGATCTTCTTCTGGCATGGGCAGAGGTTGATCATCATCAAGAGTATCACTGAACTCTGGTGGTGGTGGAGGCACTCCTCCTTGAGGATAGTCAAAATGTTGAGACACTGGAGGAGTGGAGGCCTTCTGTTGTTGATTCAAAGTAGGAGGAGGTGGCAAAGGAGGAGACACTGCACAAAAAAAAATAAATAAATAAATAAAATTTTAAAAAATTATCTAATGGCACGAACAAAAAAAATGTAGATGTTTCATGTATTTGCTGAAATTTGAACCGTTAAAATACACAGTAGATTAAAAAAATTTGTTAAAAAAATTGTGACAAAAAAATAAGTCATAACAATTTCATTTTAGGGGAGATAATTGTGAAACATGAAATGAAGATGAAAGAAATGTAACTGCTGAATGATAGGAAGAATGAACACTGTAAATGAAACCTCCAGCAGAAAGAAATTGACAAAGAAAAAAAAAAAAAAAAAGGAAAGAAACAGAGAAACTATGTGATAATAGAATAACAGATTTGTCTAGTCTCACTTCACATATCAAACAAAATACCAAAATTTAAATAAAATAAAAAATAAAATAAAATAAAAAAAAACATGCATTCAAGGATGCATAAAAAAGATAGGTATATTAATTAGTAATGTTATGAAATTATATATAGGTAACATGCTGTTTTTGTGTGCCTAAGAGAAGAAAAGGAAAGAGTGTCAGTGTTGATATGAACAGAAACAACAAAGACAGAGAGAAAGATCACTGGAAATTCAACACTTGATAAGATTCTGCAAGTTGATTCTATATTTTAAAGAAAATGAAAGAGATTTAAAAGGTCAAAACCATGGTTAAAATTGATGTTTTAAGACAAAGATTTCTTGCATCAGATCAAAAGGACTTAATATATCAGGACAAAGGAAGCAAGCTGGAAAGTAAAAATACACTAATACATGAGAAATGCAGATAACGATTATTTTGACATGGTATTAGAAAAATTAGTTGTAGAGCAGGGAATTGAAAAAAATGAAATTATATTTAGAAAGTGCCTTAGGACTGGTCAATTCATGTTAGATTTGAACAATTAACAACTACAAAAAAAAAAAAAAAAAATGTTTAAACTCTTCATGGCTATTAATAGTCATTTTCTTTTAGGTTCATGATTTCACACATTATGCAAAATGACTAATTTTAAAACAGATTCAAGTGAATGCAATGTCATCGAAATAATTCTGCAACATTCTTCAACTACATAATAAAATAAACTCCAGGTCTTATTTAATTTTTAGTACTATTTACAATTTGATTATTACTTCTCAAAAAGCAAGAATCTATTTCTTGTGCTTTATTACATTATTGGCATCTTAGCCATTACCTTGCATAAAAGCAGAGAGGGAGCATATTGAATAAGTATCTATTAATCTAACCCATTATATATGCTTCAATTTACTAAATGAGGAATAAAGTCATGCTCAAAAAGAAGTGTTCACACAATCAAATAAATCTCATATTTTCATTATTAAATTTTACTTTTGAATGTGTATCTTCAGTGATAGGGAAATTCATTTCTGCTAGCGAAATTGTTCCCTTCTAAGGATAAACACACATTACTTCCAGCAAATAAAGATTGGAAATTAATAACAAAGATTTTGATTCACAAAAGATGATGGACCAATATTACTTCAACCACCCACAAAAGAATCCTCTTTATTTTAATCTAAAAATATAAACACACAATGAACTGTTTACTGAAAGAAAGTAAAGTAACTAGAAGAGTCAAATATTAGAAATTGAAAAATAGAGAGAACTGGTGAGCAAATATTACAGGCAAAGGACATGGTTCAATTATATACAAGATAGTAACATCCTTAACCTTGTACTGCTGTATGATATACCATTTATTATTTCTGATAATTAGTAAGTATCCTGAAACATTTTGCCAGCATTATCACTAACAAGTGTTCAGAGAAGGAAAAGAAAAGATAATGATAAGGAAGAAAAGTTAAGTCAACACACTTGAAAAAGGACTATAATAGGTTATAGTAAGATTATGTTAGATATTGTGTTAAAGTTTTCACTTGGCTATATTGCAAATTGATGAATAAATATCTAATGGAAATAAAATCTTGATTTTCAAATACCCTGATGTTAAAGTTATTAAGGATTTCAATAATAATCAATTTATTATTATAATTAGGAAACAAAGGAAAGTACATTAGAATGAGAAAATATGCAAGCACTGTGCAAAAAAAAGTATTAGTAACTTGCAACCTATTTTTATCACTTTATTATTAGTAATAGTTAATGGGTCAGTTTCCGTGATTTTAAGATATTACACTTAAAAATCCAATATCTTGTTGTATGATTTGCCCGATAGGATACTTGAGAAAAGCTTGCTTATCACTAAAATAAACAAGATCATTTTAAAGTTTTTCAAGTGAATGTGTTTTCATAAAGTTCTGAGCTTGGACTGAACTATCTCATTCTTTTAGGTAGCCCAAATTTGAATGTGTGGTGTTTGTTTTGTTGGGTTTTTTTTTGACTGAATATTGCATTAACACTTTTTTTGAGAATAACAATGATTTTTTTCCAGATACAAGTCCTACTATCTGAGCTATGACTGGAGGGGGGGATATTGGATTCATACCTTTCCAAAGGCTGTTTGTTTGTAAGTAAATGTAACAAACTTGACTGGAATTCAAACTTAGCTTTTGGATTTCTCATTCCGAGCCATTATCCATTACACCCTCTGCATATTTTATTAAGAAATGTGCTTGATTAATGTACTTTGGTATCTATACACATAATTACAGCTGGAAGCCAGTTGCATTGTTTTATATATATATATATATATATATATATATATATATATATATATATATATATATATATATATGTGTGTGTGTGTGTGTGTGTGTGAGAGTGAGCTGATAGTAAAACAATCTCAAAGTACAAATGAAATGTATGCAGATTTGTTGTTAATGATAAAAGTTAGTCCAACTAGATTGGAAATGGAAAAGGTTTATTTATACTCAGGATGCAGATTCAGAAAGAAATGTACAATTTTATGAATTGTCTTTTGCAAGAGAAAGAAATTCAGTAAAGATTCTAACCTGATTAGAGTATTTTGGTTAGAATAAGGAAGTTTTTATTTGTGGAATATATATATATATATATATATATATATATAGGGACAGAAAATAAAATTGCAAGACCCTGAAGAATGATGGCGATTTTGACTCGAGTACAGTATGTGCATACAAGGACATAGATATTCTGATCAGTTTCAAAGCTTTTAATCATCTTGCAACTTAGTGACACTCATACTACTTCATCATCTGCACCTAAGTTGTAAACAATGACAAATGCTGTGATAAAATTCAATGTGGCGATAATCTGAATACAAACAGGTGTCATTTCATGAAAATACACACATGCTTTTGTTCTATTTGAACACAATATGTTTCAGTGTTGGTAACAATGATCAAATGAACATTCCTACATTCACAGACCAGGTTCTGGATGGCCACATGTTACAGACATTCACGAAGATTGATCGATTCGTTTTTTTTTTATGGCTTATCAACCTTTTATACATTAGTTAAAGCCAAAAATATTTTTAGTAAGTTTTTTGGGTTTTTTTTTTTTTGGGAGATAATCATGTACTGATACAAACTCTACTCAAAGCTAAGGTCCAAGAGCAGAAGTGGATTTATATCTTTCTCAAGGGTATTTGTGCATATGTTAAAATAACAAACCCAACTGGAATTGGAACAATGCATTGTAAGAGCAGCAGTGGTAGACCACTGTGTTTACATCTCAGATCAGAGCAAATGGGGCCCCAAGAATATCAACACAGATTATTGAGAATCATTTATTTACAGCAAGATTACACGCATGTGCCTCTAACCAAATTTTCACTTACACCACAATACAGTCATACACATCTCCAGTAATGTCACAAAAGAGTTACCTGGGAGATGAAATCCCACTCTGTAGTGTTCAAAGGTGAGAGTAATTCTTTCATGTAAATGATGGTGATTTGTCATGAGTGCAATACAAACCTGGAAGTAACATATCCCAGAATGTATTTACCTACAACACACAGACCCAGCCTCTGGCATCATGGTTTGGAGTGTCAGGAGTTGAAAAACTCACTTGCCTAGGATGTTTGTAGAGGTAACACTGAACACTGCCTTGTACAGCCAAGAACACTGTTCAATCCATTCTGCTACCATTCCTATAATAGGAAGGTAATTTGTTGTTCCAGCAGGATAATGCCTGCTCACCTAATACCCATGCTGCTCAACATGCTCTGCTAAATAACTTCTCTGGCCAGACTTGTCTAGTTTTCCATATAACTCTTGATGTATTGCATCAACAGGTACAAGAGGTGTGGAATGATGTATCACACAATTAGCTATCTTTAAGAGTACAGGTCTGTGTTAACACCCAAGAATGATATATAGTGTATACATATAGGGGTGTGAGTACTGTTGACACACCCCTTATTTTGAAACCTGTGCACATATGTAATCATTTACTATATTACCTGTACATTTAATCTTGTCCCAATTTTAAAAAAATGGGGTGACACCTGACACATTCAATTAGCCCCACCACCTACAACTCTTACTATCAGTAAGTGTTATAAGTGTGGAATAACATTGCAAAATTATATTCAACATTTGTACAATCATATGTACATGAGTTTATGTGCATGTGCTAATATCCAAGGAGGATATAAAATGTATTAATATGTGAGACACAACCCTTATTTTGGGACCTGTGCACTTATCGAGCTTAATATATGACTGTAATCCAGCTATAAAACCTGTATGTTTAATCTCAAGTAAATTGAAGCAACTATCCAGTGATGCAATTTTCCATATTACACACTTATTTATGCTAAGTACTTGTAAATTTATCTGTAAATAATTAGCTAAAAATATTTTAAGTGCTTTTAAATTTAATCATAGCTGTCAGAATAAACTTATTTTAAATTTTAGTGTCACATTTTAGCAATACCAGAAGCTAAGAACCTACAATTTTTTTTTTTTTTTTTAAGATGATTTTTTTTTTTCTAATTACAATATTTTGTTTAGTACATGTACCCTGCTGAACCTTGGCATCACTTATAATTGCCAATCAATTGCTTCACTAAAACAAAGTCCAAAGAGGAGTACATTAATTTTGGGAACTTTATGATACCTAGCAAATCTCAAAAACACAGGCAAGGAATTTGGAAAAAAGGGTAAACATTCCAAATGGTTGTTAAAGGGAATAACAGAAAAATCATTGTTTTGAGCATATTCACTTCTAATACTAAGTGCAACCATATGGGCAAAGGATGACTGGAGCAAACGAGATTGTAAAAGGAGATCCATTAGGATTGGTACTACTAGAAAGAAAGACTAAGGAGAAAATCCAATTATTTAACACCTTCTATTGGAATGTTGTTGTTGTTCTTCATAATGACTGGGGGAAGAGGCAGGCCTGTGAATAGAAACAGCAACAAAAACATAAGTGTACAACACAAAAAAAAAATAACATGAAAGAAAATGACAATAACAACACTCAAGCAGTGAAAGTGAATAAGTAAAGGCAAAAAATAGAGCAATTATATACACCAGCTAAGAGCTTGATAATTTTTAAAATTTTTATTTTACTATTATTTAGCAATGATTCTTTAGAGAAAATAGTGAATGATTAAACAAAAATAGCTATCAGTATCCCAAGATGATATAGAATATGAAAAGTTTTTTTTTAGCATGGGATTTTTTGAATTATAGATTTTGTTGCTTGTGACTAGAGAAATCAGGAAATATTTTTACTATTTCCCATGAAGTACAATAAAGACGTTCAGTGTAAGGAACTTAGTACCTATCATAAGAAGAGTTGGATGTACTCTAATTAGAGAAGCAGTAAGATAGAATAGTAATGTAATTATTTACACACAATGGATATTGGAGATTTTTTTTAAAAATCTGATATTAACATGTTGGCTCCCACACAACTCACTAGAGGGTCATGGTGGTATGTCTGCAAGGCCCACACAACCCTCCAGTAGGTCATTTTCCAATTTTATATGAGGATTATTGGGAGTGGGATGCTATAATTGATTGCTTATGAGATCATGGTACATCAGAACCACATTTTTTCCAAAAAAATATATTTCTTTTATTTTTTTTTTATCTTATTTTGTTTTCCTTTTGGAATTTCCACAGTTTATATATATATATATATATATATATAAAAACACACACACACAGAGCTGTACCATGCATTCATTTGAGATTCCATGTTTTAAAATGAACTCAGGTACCAAATGACACCAGTGGGGTCATGGATAATAACTACTAACTATGATATCCTTGCCTCATATTTGAAACAATGTTAAAACAAAGTCTCTTATACCAAAATTAACTCAAATATAGTGTTAGGACTCTGGGACAATAAGGTAAATGAAGATTGGGAACCAATGTGTTCAAAGCTCTCATTAAAATTCAAACTTACTTGAAATGTCATGTATTTTCAGCATTTATTTAACAGCTGCACAACAGTAACAATTATTGATAGTTTGGAATAATTTTGCTAACTTTCAGTCTGAGATTGTGAGTTTTGTGCAATTGCATAAATATCATACAATGTCTAATTTACTGATTACTGAAGATAATTTACCATTTCTAAGTGGTTGCATTTTGATAAGGAAATGGTTATGGAAGCTTATTTAATCTAACCTGAAACAAGTTATCAAATGAAGACCTAAGTTGAATAGGTTCATTTACATTTTTAATCATTTAATTAATCAGTAATTACATTTTTCATTAAAACTGTAGAATACAACTAAAGTTTATTTTCAACTATTCTCCTGCATTCATATGATCTAGTATTATAAACTAAAACTGTACTTTAAGGCAAATATTTTAGCCCAAATAATAAAGTTCCAGAACTAATAGTTATTTTCAAAATATTTACAGATGATAAATTTACACTAACTCAGCATACCAATATATAGTTTTTTTCTTTCTGAAAAACAGATACTCTTATGATATATAATATAGTATAGTGAGATTAGAGATGTTCTAACAAAAAACAATTTGAAAAATAAATAAATTAAAAAAAAATAATTAAAAAAAAAACACACTAATGGAATTAAATTAAAAAAAATTAAATTTATTGGGGGGGGGGGGGATAACAAAAAATAATCTGCTGGTTGTAATAAAATTAATTTTCAGGTAATAAAATTAATAGAATCTAGAAAGAATTATACATATACTTTGAGTAAAAAGATCAGAACAAAAATATTAATATGTATTTAATGGCAATTTAGTCTAATGCATCATGACCGAAAAAACTAGTAAGTTAAACTGATTAAATTATAAATTCAAAATTTACAGAAAATTTTAGCAAAGACATGCATAAAAATTCACAATACCAATGCATTTGTGTAGTTTATTATTAGTTAAGAATAAAAATAAAATAAAATTTTCCAGATGTAGAGTTTTTCTAACCAAACTTCTAAAATGCAAAGTTAAACAACAGTGCACAAATTCTTATCTTTTTAAAATTAGTACTATCTTATTGTTCTTTGGAGCATATCATCTGGTTCAGTCAAATATTTCAATAATCAGGTTTTCTCTAGAGACAACAATATTAAGATAAACACCAATGTTCTTATTGCAATTAAAATTGTTTTTCCTTGTATTTTTCAAATCTGTAGTAAACAAAAGCTCTAAAATTAACAGATAATTTTTAATCATTTTACTAATACAAAATGTTTGCTAAATTCTTAAAATAAACCAAGAAAAAAGATTGTGTATATATATATATATATATATATACACACACGTGTCCATAAAGTTCGTGTGCACTTTAAAAAAATTATAACTTTATTTGTATTTGCGATAGAAATAATTTGTAAAAATGATTAGAAAGAAGTAAATCCAAATTTTTAAAGGTTTTATTGAAATTTTATTTAAGTTTCCACATGTCCCCCATCATTAGCAATACAAAGGGTAATATGATTTTGCAGTTCACGGAAAACATTTGCCAACTGATTTACAGTAATGCCTGAAATAACATTAGTTATTTTAGTTATACTTAAAACTAGGTACATTAAACTTTATAACTTTTTCTTACAGATTATTTCTATCGCAAATACAAATAAAGTTATAAATTTTTTAAAGTGCACACGAACATTATGGACACCCTGTATGTGTACATAATATATATATATATATATATATATGTGAAAATATATAGAAAATAGGAAGGAACTGGTTAGGTAAATAATCCAAAGTTCCTTAGTATTTTAGTTATTATTTAAAAAAAAAAAAAAAAAAAAAAAAAAATAGTGCTCGATACAAAAGTATATATATATATATATATATATATATATATATATATATATACACACATATATATACATACACACACACACACACACAAGTATATAATTGGTGTATACGGAATGAATTCCAATAACCAACAATTACTATTCTTAAGAGTGCTCAATACAAAGTAGAGCAGATATAATTATTTTTTATAAAAAAATATTTATAACATAAATATGTTATAAATTTTTTTTATAAAAATTATATATATATATATATATATATATATATATATATATATATAATATATTATAAAATAAAATAACTTTTTTTTTTTTTTTTTTAATTCTGAAAATACATATTAAAATAGCTAGGTGACAGGTACTTTGGAGTAGAAAAAACACCAAAAGTGGATAGGACAGGTTCAAGTCCCAGTGTAGATATCCAAATCCTATCTAGGTTTTAGATACACAAAGGTGTTGATTAGCATGTTTGTATTCTTATGAAAATTTGATGGCCTAAAGTCATATCAATAGAAATTGCTATCCACAAGAGCAGATAGTGATATTTTAATAGGGACTTTTTTTTTTGCCTTGTAAGTTGAGATAACTGACTTAGGTTAAAGTACAAATGCAATAGTCATAAATTTTTTCTAACTACATTAAGGATGTGTCTGGCAGGACATTTCAAGAATTCTGTCGTTATAACTTAAAAACAATAAATAATTAATAAGGAAGCTCTAAAAATAAAAAAAGACGACTTTGTTCATTTTAATTTATTCTAAATGAGAATAGTACAATTAAATGCTTGTGTTAGACTGAACAAAAGCTTATCTGATGCAGTCAGTAATACCTATAAATAGCTTGAAAAGATCTAGTAATGTGTGGGACTTCTGGTTCTGTCTAAATCACCTCTGAACAGCTGTTGGTCACTGTAGAGCCAACTTTCAGAGATGAAGATATACAACCGATATTGATCCCAACTACTAATGCAGGCGATCACAAACCATGGAACATCTAGTTTGCCCCAATCTTGAAGATTCATACACACATAACGATCATGAAACCATGACACCCCAAGCAAGGCTGTGTGCGCAATACTGGATGTGTGTGATGTAGTGACTCAATAAAAAGAAGCATTATCATAATGATATCTGAGGTAAGTAATATTATTGCAAACAATCTTCACTGTTTATTATTTAAATTTGCAAATTATACTGAGAGTATCTCAAATTCTATGTACAGCATTAAATTAAGTGAAATGTAAGCATGAGCACTTAGCACTAATAAAATGCTCTTTGGGAGTTAAGTATCTTTAGGAAAGTTATTGGGTATTTGTTAAAATGCTTTTTCCACTGCATTCATTATATTAATTTCCTTGTAAAATTACTAAATACTTAGAATATCTAATTATGATAATCTGAAAAGTTTTGTTATTAATTACAGTTGGAAAAAAAAAAAAAGAAAAGAAAAATAAGATAATAGCTACCCTAAATTCTTAAGATACTTCTTGAAATAAAAATATGCCAAGAGTTTTCTTAGATACTCTTGGAATAATTATGGTTTCTCAAAATTATAAACAACACACAATATTACATTAAAGATTTCCAATTGTAAAAAATCAAATAAAGCTATTTTCAAAGTAACATTTTTAGAAAAATAAAAAAGTACACAATGATAGAGTTAGTAATAATAGCAGAGATTGTTAGTTAGTTTTTTTGTTTTTTTTTAAAATGGACATTGGAAGCTTGTTAGCCTGGTTTGGGATGAGGAAATGTTTCCAAGGACTGACACCATCACCAAGTAGCATAGGCAAAAAGATTTTGATGGGCAACATAGACAATCATTCATACTCTCTATGGATAAGATGATATAGAGAAAGATAGTTAGAAGAGTGAAGTCAAGATGTTTAACTGAATTTATTAAATAAGTGTTTCTTAAAACTGAACAGTTCCAGCCAATATAATCAATTCAGGCTTTAGTTTTTAAAAACTAAATTATTCTGTTTAGTTTCTGCTTTAAGGTGCTCCTCAGGTGTAATACATTAAGATGAGAGAATAATGTTGAAATGCAAAGGTATTTCTGAAAATTAAGATTAGGAGAAAAATGAAGATTGACCAATGGAATGGTAAATTAAATTGGTTTTAAAATGCAAAGGTAAAATAACAATGAAATGCATCAAAGAGATGTTTACAAAGAAAAGGAACTATTTGAAAGAAAATGACAGTCTTGCTGTGAAAAATATGGCATAGGTAAATAACCAACAAAATGTAAATATTCTGGGAAAGCAAGAGAAAAAATATTTTCATATGATGTGTAAACATACACATTTATGTGAAATTATGCAAAAGAACTTAAGTGTTTAAAAAAAAAAAAAAAAAAAAAAAAAGATTTAGTTTATAAATATAAATTTAATTTGCAAAAATAAACTTTAAAAATATATTAATTTATTTAGACTTCAAAAAAATCCTTTCAGACTGTGAATGTATAATATCACATCTGACAAAGTAATGACACCTATGTAAATATTACCAGAGCACTTGAAAATGTGGTTAAGATTGATGATCATGATGGTCAAAGCAGCAACGAAACTGATTGATCATCAAGATCATATAAACGTGGTAATACTAAATAGTAAAAAGGCAACTGACAATGGGTTATATAGTACTTACTTAGAGTTTATTATAGAATAAAATTGTTCTTTTTGATACCTGAAAACTAAAAGGTGACTATTCTTACTTATATTCGCACAGATAAAAGAAGAGTGGGAGAATAAAGGGAAAATTTGAAGTAGAAATTGACCCTGAAAATGTCTTGTAAATAATAAAAAATTATATGAGAAAAGGATAGGAAAGTCAAAAGAGTAGATAATATTCATTCTTTGGGTGTCAGCTATGGGTTGACTTGCAAACATGCCTTATTTAAAACATTAAAGAGCACTGAATTTAATAAAACAAAAAATAAGTTTTAATAATAAATTTGGCAGTAACTAGCATTTTTCATGATACTGTAAATATCCACAAACTTATCCATTAACCTGAGTTTATGCTGACTGGACGTTAGATAGCATAAAGTATGGAGAGGTTTGTGCTGCACTAAGAGTCAGATCAGACTAAAAATGGAGAATTGCAATTAGAACTGCCCAATCCCCACTTTTAGACTTGACAGAATTTAAAAGCATTTACAAGGCGTTGTGTGTGATGAATTATTTTTTAATTCTACTACCTCTTCCCCACAGACAAAACATCACAAGCCTATTACTATTTCCATGGCAAATATTCAGAACTACATTCCTTAGTTCTACCAGTTCAGACTTTTACAGCTAATAGCCACCATGGGTTAACAGGGTCTATTCCATTAGTAAGAAAGAAATTTATAGTGATAGCTTCTTCCAAAGAACCGCTATTTTATGGAACATTCCTGAGAGGATGCTACCTTGATCCCTACAATCTTAACCACCTCAAGTCTAGGGTGAACAGTTATCTATACTACATATCTTCATAATCTGAACTTATCTCCTTCTCTTACATCCATCATCCATAACACAACCTCATTCAGCAATACTCTACCTTGAGTTGTTCTTAGGCCTTATAGTAAGCAAACAATCATCTAGAATCTGTATCATAGAAAACAACATTTGAAATCCTGTCTTTTACCTGGGTTCAAACAATGACCATTAACTCAAGTAGAAAACAGGCAACTATCTAGGTCAAGAAAACTTTCTAAAATGATCAAACATAGGTTAGCAGATCAAAATGATGTATTATTGTTAGTCATTAATTTTTGACTTGCATTTATTCCATCTACTCAGAGTGTCAGTTTATAGCTTTCAGTAAACAGTACAAATTGGAAAAAAAAAAAAAACTTTCAGTAAAACAAATGCATTCTTTTTTGAAGATGTCTATCTTAATGTGACAACTACTTTTATCAATTGTCCTGTAAAAGCCCTATGGCTAGCAGATAATCAAATCTAAACATATGAACTCATTCTTTATTCCCTGCCCACCAGCTGCCCAGCACCATATTACTGATTTTTTTAGATTTAGAATTAGTAATATTTATTTCATAATGATACTGCACAGTCTTCTATCATTCCTTTTTTTTTTCAATTTGTGCTGTTCACTAATGACTTTACAATGATAGTGAGTAATTGTACTGAAAAAGCAACTAAAATTGACATGAAAGACAGTAAAAATTAACAATGGTTGACGTTGTTTTACACAAACTAAATACTACAGTAAATATGATAGATATGACTGATTTGTGCATGTTCAGTACAGCAAGTGTTTTGTTACTGGCATCTTTAATAAGGTTGGAAAATTCATTCTAAGTCTGAATTTTGATGCTTCTTTTCTCAGTAACATGAAATGAGTGAGAAATTCTGCATTTAGATATTTTATAATTTTTGATCAAAGCAGTTATGGAAACAAAATATTAATATTTTTACTGCATCAATTCTTAAAGCATATAAAAATCCTCAAAACTTTTCAAGAATCTTTATCCAAAATTGATGCATGAGTGTGTGTGTGTATTTTACATGCATACACACAAGTTTATTATATAAACTCTTTAGCATTTGTTTAGATCATAACTTAATGTATTCTGCATAAACCAGTGTATAATACTTTATAGAATTAAAATAATGTTATTAATAATTTCTTCGTTAATTCAGTACAATGTAAACACACTGATATTTTCCTATAAGAAAATAAATTTGCCAAATAATAATAATAAAAAAAAAAATCTCAGCATAACATTATTTGCCTTTTATAATTGCTATCAAGAAGTTTAAATAAGGCATGTTCCTGATGGAGTATTTGAGGGGAAAAATAAAATCTATCTTAGATGCCAAGAGCAAGGGAATGGGAGGAGTGGATGGAAAAAAAACACAAAAACCGTGTCATAAAAAGCCAAAAGAGAGTTAAAGACAAGCATAAAATACAGAGGAATGAAATGGGAATAGAATACAAAATGAGAAAATAATTTAAATGCCTGCAAATGGTGAAGGATCCAACATCTGTGATGGTGGCCGGGGAAGCAAACCTTAGAAAATAAGCACCATTAATAATCAGTTAAAAGAAAGCAATGCACAAATATAACAAAAAATTAGTATGAAAGCACAAATAAAAAACATTAAGACAAAGCTTATGAAAAAAAAATAAAGTACATTTGGATTAATATATTAATGCTTATTTATTTAGAAGAATAGTTAAGATACTATTTCAACGTATAGTCTTTGTGCATATATTTTCTTTTTTTGAACTTTATTCTTACTTGCTTATTATTAATGCTTTTTTATACTTTTAAGAAACTTTAAAACTTATCTTACAAAAATATACTCCTATCATACAGCAAATAATATATTTAAAGTATATTTTACTCTTTAAGTTGTAACTTATATAGCTTGTTTTACTACCCTTTAACATGCTGTGGCTTTCTCCTAAGAACCTGGTCATTGTCAGTATGAATAGCAGAATACAGTAGTCCAATACTTAACCTGCTAATGAAGGAGAAAAAAAAACACCATTCTTTACTATAGGGTAGTTCTATTACTACACAAGGTAAAATCCCAAAATTATTAATGGTATTCTAATAGTAAGTGAAAACATTACAGAATAGCTGTACATTCTCTTTAGCACAATAGAGAGATTGTTTGCCATAATTCATTATTTTAAAGGACTCACCCAAAAAAGGAAAACCATTCCCTTTCATTACAAGCCAATTATTTGACAAATAGCATTAATGAAAGAGCTAGCATCATTATTAAAAGAGATACTATATTGGTTATAAAGCAAATTTAAGGTAGATAAATTTGCAATCAAAACTCATTTTATCCTTTAATTTCTGATGTTAAGGAGAAAAAACCCAATTCTAAATTACTTGAAGTTAGAACATATTTGAATATCCTAGATCATACTCTGAAAAGATTGCAAGTTAAACTTTAAAAACATTAGTTAAAATGGATTGCATAATGGGACTTGGTTGCACAGAGACCACTTTGTCATAATAGAAAAGATAGAATTATTAGTATACCTAACATTTAACAGATTATGGGCAAACAATAAACTCAAAACATTTAGATTGCTCCATAGTAGGTGTATACATTTTCTATTAATAGGTTAGTGGCATCATCAAGCAAGTGCAAATACATTAAGCAAAATTAACACATTCAACAGACACTTGTGAGAATAGACATTAAAAATTTCAAAAGCACAAAATAGTAATTGGTTTTACAAACAACACAAATCAAGAGAATAATCTGATAGTAATATTTTTAGTCTTTGGTAAACATTACCCTGGTGTACAGAGATTTTAAGTAGATAGTTAACAAAATTGTAGCATGTTATTCAAATTTAGAACTTATTGAGCTCATCATTCCTGTCATTGAATATTCAGTTGTCTTTGTCTATAGAATGTTACCAAAAGATATTTGCCAAAATGAGCCAATTTGGGCCCACTCTGAGAAATAAAATCATTACATAGCTTTTGATGCAATCTCATTGACCACATGAAGAAATCCCACAATAAAATTATCCAAATAAATAGGAGATATCTGACTTGTCAGGCCTTTGTACAGTATAAACCGTATAGATCTCATTACTTATAATATATGTTGCTTTTTTTTTGGTTTTGTAAAACTTATCTAAATTTATTGATGTATATAATATCAATATAATAGGAATTAAATTTTTTTTTTCTTTTTCATATAATTATTAGTAGTTATGAATTTAAAAGCTAAACAAATAAAATGAAATTAACTTCTAGCATTTTACAAAAAAAGTAATAATCATTACTTTTAACAGTTTAAAAATCAATTAGTTTCATTTACTCATAAATTGAGGTAAAACATTTACTGTTATAATTATATTTTAAAAATGTTTAATTATCAGCATTACAAGGTATTATTTACATTCATTTTCAAAAAAAATGAGGAGGGTAGCTATAATTAAACATGCATTTGTAAGATATAGTAAGTTGAAATAAAATAGCTTGCATTCACAGAGAAATAAATCTGGAAGATTTTTGAAAACTGTATAAGCTACCCAAATCAAAAAGTACAGTTTTGTCTTATATCTGAAGGAAAAATGTTTGTTCCAAAATAGATTTTTGAAAATTATGTTATAAGTACACAATTTTCTGATATATTTTTCTTCAAATGTTCATAGAAATTTATTGGCAAAATTTTATATATTTTATAATTTTTTCACTTTTGGTTTAATAAGCAAAAATATCAGAAATAAAAATGAAATTATATTATTGTACTAAAAGTAAAATTATAAAATATATAGTTGGAACAAAACAAAGAGAAGCAAGCAGGCAATATTAGAAACAATTCAAGGACTGATTTTCAGAAAATATCATGGAAAGAAAATGTTACATTAAACTTGATGGTTATTTTGCAGGTTAGTAGGATTTAGTATTCAGGCTATTTGCTCTAAGTGAAGCATAAGTGGTTAAATATTAAAGATACAAAAAAAACATAATGCAAGTAAAGGTGATACAACTATGATGCATTTTACAAGATTTTGGATGCAGAAATACACACTCATACACACACACAGAAGAAATCAACTTAGCATTACCAAAGAATAAACAGACACACAATAGAGGATTTATTTTTTATGACAAAATGAAAGATTGCAATAATGATGAAAGGAATGGTGATTTGTAACATGAAGCTAAGGATGGAATTTCATGTACAAACCCAAAAGACATGATAGAACAAGCATAATGAAAGAGAGAGAGAGAGAGAGTGATGAGGTATGTTTTGCAGAGAGAACAAGAGCATCAACATTTGTGTGGCTGTTGTTTTTGTTGTTGTCAAAAGCGGCACAGGGAAAGAGAAGAAAAGACAATGCATGGTAAGAGAATGACTTTACACCTTCAAATGGCATGTAGTCCTGTATTTCAGATGGTGGTGGAGGCAGGTCTGTGAAGAAAGAAACAGCAACTCATGATGAACCAGGAAAAAAAAAAAAAAACAAAACACAAAAAAAAAAATACATTTGGAGTTGATGGATTAGATTTTTTTTTTTTTTTTTTAAGTAACAGCATAAAATAATTCTACTGACATCATGAATTCATTTAAAACTACATGCAGAAAAGGAAGAGTTTCATATTCCAGTTGAGTATTTGTTTGGCCACTTTGTGTTTGTATAATTGGTAAGGCATAGGAACAATAATCCCAGATCATTGTGCCAGAGCATGGCAGATTGGGCTGGTTAACCATGTTTGGCAATCAGTTTAGAAGCTCAACACTAAAATAAAACCTATATGTAGCCCTAATGTACCTTAAGCAAGATCTCTATTAGGTTTCAAAGTGCTTCATCAAAAACAACTCAAGGAACAAGAGTTGTGCAAGGATCCTATAATGAATTGTGTATGTGTGTGTATATAATTTGTATTATTATAGAAATTGTGCTATACAATATGATATTCAGAATGATTGTTAGAATATGAAATGTGACACTAAAAGAGCTATTAATATTTAAGATACCAATAATGGTCAAAATTATTTTTATGAACTGTTATATCAGAATAGCAAAACACTGCGCCATTAGGATCTGTGGGTTTTGTAATGGATAGCAGCTCAGAATAAAAAATAGGAGAGCCAAATTCAAATTCCTGTTGAGTTTGTTACATTTACTTGCAGTCAAATACCATGAGAAAAGGTATACATTCTTCACCCTCCAACTATGGGTTAAATAGCAGAGCAAAATTGGTTCTTTAGTTGTGGTTGGTAATCAGTCTAAAACAACTCTGAATTCAAGGCCTTATGTGGCCCTAATGCTACAATAGAGATACCTTAAGCAAGATCTCTATTAGGTTTCAACCAAAGTGTTTCATCACCAAAACAACTTGAACAAAAGTTGTGCAAAGATCTATATAATGGATTATGCAACTATTGCAGGAGTTCAGATTAAATTAGATTTTCTTTTAGCTGATCATATATTAATATATACAAAGGTAGAGTATAACAAACTGTAACCAATTTAGTACTTGTCTTTGTATAATATGCATAGCAATTGTTCCCTTCTCCCACCACACTATAAATATATGAAACTAAAATGTTTTTGCATTATCTAAGCCAATGATTCCCAAAATGTGTATCAATGTTCCATAGAGTGCCTCAGGATATTTGAAAATTTTAATAATTTTGAGCAGTTATAATTCAATGCACTGATGTACATTGACAATGATAAGAAACAACATCCGACTTACATACACATTGTGAATTATTCTGTCACATTCAATGCATAACTTTACTATTTCAACACAAGACTCAGTTGATAGGCAAGGTTCTGGATTGTCAAATATTTTTGGTACATAAAAGCTTCATATAAAAGACCAGATACTCCAAGTCTTTACTAGAGATTAAATCTACTGAATTGAAGTTAAATTAAGTGTTTACATAAAAATAACTTTATTCTTGTAATATGTGAAAGTTAGTATTAATCAAAATGTTCAAAATTTACGTTTTAGGCTGTAACCCTCATCTTTGTAATAATAGTTTACTTAATTAACCTAATCACAAGAACTTAAATACAACTGTACAGTATTTTCTGATACTGAAAAACATTTTTATACAGTAAAGTTCCTAAAAAGGTTTAGGAACCACTGACATAAGCTAAATGACAGATCAAAGTATATTTATAGTTGAATAATAACAACAAACATTAATTTGGTTTTAAATGTTTGTGTGGCTAGAGCTCAATGAAAATATGATCATCATTAGTTACAATATTATATATATATATATATAATTTTTTTTTCCTTTCATTTCATTGTTGGAAGTGTTACCTGATGATCCAGAGTCCTTCAAAAAGGATTTTGGTGAAATAAATTATTGTAATGGTACCTTAAAGTGGTCTGTTTTTTCATTAAATATTAGCTCTGGATTCACATTGAGCTCTCAGGATTTCATCCTCCTTGGAATTACCCATTTGGTTTACCAAGTTCTTCGTAACTTAAATATATATATATATATATATATAAGAAAGAAAAAAATATATGTATGTGAAAAATATGTAAAAAAAAGTGCTCAGTGTTATATAACAGAGCTATTAAGTATATATTAATGAATATACACATTATCCCATGTTGATAGCATGACCGAGTCAACAAGCATCCTCAGTTAATGTAATTATACAAATAAATATTAGTTGAAGTAGTTATATATTTTAGTCCTTAAAAATAAAGAAAAATATCATTAATCTCCCCCCCCCTATTTACTCTTTGCTTTCTCCTTCCTGAATAAAATTATTTTTTTTTTTATTGGCCGTAAAAACAAAAGATTACTGCCAAGTAGATTTTAACTTTTCTTCACTTTGGTACATTTTAAATCAATTTTCTATAAATATTTTATGTTAAAATTAATTTAACCAGTAATTCTAAAAAAAAAAGTTAAAAGTTTACCCTCAAAATCATATTTTGAAGAAAATTGTTTTATGAGAACAAAGAATACAACTTTACACACAAATCAAGCAATCTGGATTAAAAGATTACATCCTTAAATGAATATTAATGAAATTTCAGTTTAAAAAGATTCTACATGACAGACCAATTTTTGTTCTCAATTCAGTTCATAAATCAAGTAATTGTTTCAGATATCTAAGACAATGAATTAATTTCAATAACTTTTATAGAAGATGCAAAAATAGACAAGAAAATATAGGTTTATAAATATAAAAAGAACCAACACAATGTTTCTTTATTAAACTGGTAATGTGCACTCAGTATTATGAATAGAAATAGCAAACATTTCGGGTGCTTCTGGTGGATTTAGATGGCTTAAACTGAAAAGTGTATAGTGTTCTACTGGATATTGCTTTAAACTTGTCTTGTTTAATGGTGAAAGAAATTAATTCCACAAGCTATTGTGAATATAAAGGACCATTTTGCAGATTGAGTATATTTTTTTTTAACTTAGAAATCATTGAAATTAGTTTATGCATTCAGTGTAAAAAAATTTTAAACCTGAACATTTTGGAACAAAAATATGGTATTCCAGTAACTGACATTTACACTTTTAAAAGGACACTTTGCATTTACACATTCAATTATAGCTTCCAGAGACACAATGATGACTTTGGTAACAACTAGATGATATCCAGATTGTCCAAGTTGGACACCATTGCTATATGTGAAAATACTTACCAATAAAGCCAGTAATCAATTTTAGGAACATGTAGGATCCTTTTGAAAAAATTAAAGGAAATGTTATGATCTACCCTCCCAAATATGTATTTATCATTATAAAAAATTTTTTTTTAAAAGTACATGTTCCTGTATCCACCATGATAGGTCACTTCAGTTGTAAATGAAGAATTACTGCACTTCAATTAAGACATACAATGAAGAAAGAGAAATATTTGATGATACACTTATTTTTTCATACACATATAGATCACAGCAAGTCAGATAAGGATATGTGATATCTGATTAAAAAATAGTGGGGATATTATAGAGAAACACTTTTTTAATTTTAAAGTGAACATTTTAATAACACAGTTTTTAAAAACAAAGAATGAAATATTTAAATATTTTAAAGTGGATACAAAATTTAATAATTGCAATTAAAATGGACATATTAAAACAACAACAGGAAAGAATAAAAAATGTTTAAGTTGTTGTAAAATAATATCAGAAAGCAAATATATTAACAAAAAAGTTTTTAATTTATTTGCTTTTTGATATTACCAATTTATGGCAATGTAAACTTCTTTGTTATTGTTTCCTGTTGCAATTATAAAAAAATATACCTTTTATTTTAATTTTTTTTCCTTGTTACTTTAATTGCAATTATAGAAGGGAGTGTGTCTTAATGCATCAATATAAAGAAAAGTAATTCTTAAAAACATGTTTGCAGGTTAATATATGATTACTAATAAACATGAGTTATGACTGACTAACTTTGAATTGATATAATACAAACATTTTTTTTTGTCATTTTTAGGTTAGTTCATTGTGAATTATAGTCTCTATAAGGCTTAAGTCTACATAAAAAGAAATGACATCATTTGACATACTTGAAAAATTGTTACTAATATTAGGCTGTTAACATACTGTCAGATTTACAAGGACTTGTAATTTGGTGCTGTTGAAATAAGTTTAGGTAAAGGGGCTTTATAGTGTATCATTTGGTATTGTAAGTCTGGATATTTCACTATTCAATTAATTTTTCAAATGGTTCATTCATCATAAAAAGTAGTTTTAACCATGAAAATATATCTAGAGTAATAAAACTATTCTTTCTGTAACAGTTCAAACTGTAGCAATGCAGCTTAAGCAGAGTAAAGCATCAATCTGGCATTTTGAAAAGGAACTGCTAATAAGTAAATAATGTAAGAGTAGTTCTAGAAATTTCCATCCAGATATGAAAGTACTGAAAAGGAACCCCGAGGAAAATTCCCCAATATTAGCGATGACCAATTAAGAAAAATATAAAATAACCCTAAAACAACAATTTCAACTCTTAGTAAAGTTTCTATCATATTTGGTTGTAATAAAAACAGGTTTAATAGTCAAATGGATTTTAGACAAATTGACTGAAAATCAGAAAGTACATGGTTTTGAGATGCACGCATCACAATTTACTAGCAACAATAATAATGACCCATTTTTTAAACATAACTTGAGATAAATATCTTACAGTAATTGTAATTACATAGAACTTTGATGGTAAAGCAAGTAGCCAATTCACTTCATCCCCAAACAAAAAGCTAATATTTCTAAAAATAAAAAACTTGTAATCCAAACAGACAGAAATTGCATGTTAAAAAATATCAAGTATATAACACAGTTCTTTATTATTTGTGGCAAGACAATCAAATAAGTAACAGCAATAATTTGCTTTTACAGGATTCATCTGGTCACAGCAATTTTTGTACCTTTCCCTACAGAATATCATACAAACTATTTATTATAAACAAGACTCCTTGTTTTACAAATTATATTCACAAAAAAGAAATATTGATGATTACTGATTTAAAAACGAGAGATTTATCTCCACTTTTAAATATACATAATCAGAATTATCAATTCAATATTCATTTATTCTTAAACGTCATTGTTTTTAATGACCCATTATATAAGAAAAATTGCAGATCTCAAGGTATCTAGCTGATTAAATGTTAAAAAATAATTTACCAGACAAAACTCACAGGTGATAACAGGATTATCTAACTTTTCACGGATTCATTATAACAAGAATTATTTAACCGGTTCAAATATGATCCTTTTTTATTATCCCCAAAGACAATAGTAAACAGAGGAAAGCAAAACTTACCAATTGCTCCTTGAGCCAAAGTTTGTGGTGGCACTTGTACACCATGGATCATATTGGGAGATGAGGGAGTGTGACCGCCACTTCCTGTTTGGGTAATTGGCCGTGCCATGCCCACAGGTGGTATGACTTGTCCACCTGCCATGATTGTTGTTGTGGCTGCATAGCCACTGCCATCCTTGCTGCGGCCTACACTTCCGCTACTGCTGCTACTACCTCCGCCACCTTGCTGGACACCCATTGCATAGTTAGGAGCATAGTGTGACGGCACTGAAGGAGGGGCCACTGGTGGTGCTGGGGTTCGGTAATGAGAGGATCCCTGTGACCGTCCTAGAGTACCACAAGCCCGAACAGTAGGAGGGGTTGGAGGTTTTGAAGTCGGGGCTTGTGTTGAGGAACCACTACTCATGGAAGCACTACGAGCAGTCCTGGGGTTCAGCGTCTGCACCTGGGGGCAGATGAAAGGTATTAACGAGTTAACAAAGGATAAAAATATTTTAAGGGAAGAGGACAGTAAAAGATATGAGGTTAAATTTATTCAGATTAGTAACAGCAAAGCAGTGGGTTGTTAGTAAAGTATTATTAATGAGTAAAGTTAAAAAGCTAAGAATGCAGATTTTGAAATTAGAATATGTTTAACACCTTCATTATAAAAAAAATGTAATACTTGGTTCACTTCATATATTATAGCCACCTTGGTATCAAGATATTTAATCAGTTTAGCTTTATTTGGTACAGGGTTAGAATGATTGAATTACCCTCATTTCCACAATGTTTTCCAAATTTAAAAAGAAAATTCCAATCAGATTTTTTTTTCTCAAGAAATGCTACTTTGTAGAACAGCATCCTGCATGAATGCTTCTCTGAATACTGCAATTTTAATCTTTTCAAATCAAGGGTCAATTGTTATCTATTTTTCTTATACTCATGATCTTCACTTTCTACAACCACTTCTTTCATGATTACCATTTTAAAAGAAATTCTCTACCTTGAGTGACATTCGAGCCTTGGATGAATTCTAGTGTGTGTGTGTATATATATATATATATATATATATATATATATATATATATAAATAAATAAATAAAACACACTGCTTTTCCATGTAGAGAAATCCCACCCAAAAAGTCAGCATTTAAAATACTGGTTTTTATTCAGGTTTAAATACACAACTATCATATCCACAAGGAAAGCCACAACTTTTACCACCAACAAAGTTATTTGTGCGTATGATGTTATTGTTGTTATTATTATTCTGTTCTTTTATTGTCCTCTCTTGATTTCTTTCATTCTTTGTAACCCATTGCTTGGGGGGAAATGATTAAACAAAATTATGTCCACTAACTATAAATCCTGATAGGTTTTCTAACTGAAAGAAAATTAGTCTCACTGTACAGGTTAAAAAAATCTGGTGAGAAAATGCATCCTTATCATACACCTCTTTCTATTTTTGTGTATTCACTAAACTTGCTCTCTATCCACATACAAACTGTTTGTTCCTAGTAAAAGTTACAGATTAGTTAAATATTTTTTCTTTGTAAATCAAGCTTTTCAAGCAGCTCTTTGTGCTGTATTGTATTACTTGTTCTGATAGCATTCTGATCATAAAACTATCCTTTCTTTGGCAGCACCATGAAGATAAATATACTGAATCTTCTGGTATTTCACCACTGTCAAATTTCATGTCATTTTGAAAACTTTATCAATCCCCAAATCATCTAAAGCTGTCCAGTATTTCTATTACAATATCCTAGCATAAAACCTATATATATATATATATATATATATATATATAAATACACACACACACACATATATATATATATATAAGTACTTGGGTTTAAGCCAATTGGAACTATTGCTCCGATTGAGTCCTGTGTCCAAGAGATTTTTCACTAGAGTAATCTACTATAGTTTTGTCAAATATATACAACAGCACAATTTAACATACACCTAACAGCACATTGCAGATTTTACAGAGAATAACTTGAATTTTAATTTTCTTCTGAATTTTAAAAAGTCAGTATTGTTTGTTTTTACTGTTTATATTTAAAAAAAAAAAAAAAAAAATCTTACTATACTTGAATATTAATTATAGACCAATGTAAAAATTTATTTTCTTGAAAAAGAAAAGACAAATATGTAAATATATGTGTAACAGCATCTACTATGAAGCTGAGGCCCTATAAAAATGTCTCCACATCATCTAAGGGCCAAATCTCTGTATGTACAAATATAGGGGAAGGAGAATGTATACACAATTGTTAATAACAGATGTATTTTCTGAAATTTGATCTTATATACTTTTTACAAAATCCTTTCTATATATACTTTTTTAAAAATATATATACTTTTTCCTTTCCATATATAAAATCCTTTCCATATATACTTTTTACAAAATCCTTTCCATATATACTTTTTACAAAATCCTTTCCATATATACTTTTTACAAAATCCTTTCTATATATACTTTTTACAAAATCCTTTCTATATATACTTTTTACAAAAATTTTTTTTTTTTTACAAAAATCCTTTATATATATTTTATATAATATATATATATATATTTATATAAACCTATATATATATATTTACAAAAAATCCTTTATATATACTTTTACAAAAATCCTTTTCTATATATATTTTTTTTTTTTTTTTTACAAAATCCTTTCTATATATATTTTTTTTTTTTTTACAAAATCCTTTATAATTATATATATATATATATATATATATATATATATATATTTTCACACACACACAATCATAATTACACACACACACACAAATATTCACACACACATTGTACAAAAAATTGTATTTTTATAAATGTAAAAGCCTTAAATAAAACAAATCTCGCACATTTTATGTATAAAGATACATACAACTAAAGAATAATAATAAACTTAATTCTTATTCTAACAGAAATTAATGCATTTTTTTAATTCTAACTGGTGAAAAAGGTATTTGTACAAATCAATTATTAGAATAAAATAATCAATTAATTATGAAAAAAGTATATTCTAGAATGTTCCAGTAATGTTATCAGTAATTATACTTAACGCTATTAGCCATTATCAGAGCATTGTATGTATGTGTATGTATATATATTTTTTTACAACATCCTTTATAATTATATATATATATATATATATATATATATATATATATATATATTTTTACAACATCCTTTATAATTATATTTCACTAAACAATATTATTCATGAATTCTAGAGAACAAAATCCATATACCAAAAACTTTTACAAATTTTCAGATGAAGATGCTAAAAGTAGAATAATAGTCTAATGAATGTGTTTCTTATTGTATTTTGTTGTGTACTCTCTGGAATTGTGATGTTAGCCATTACTTTAACAACTCCATTACCTACCTTATCATGAAAGTTTATTGGATCTCTGTTATTTTAAATAAGTATGTAATATTTATCAATACAAGAAGCATGTAATTTTTAAACCCTAACCTGTAAATTCTGCCTAGATAATAATGTGGCCCAGATCAGTGAAGATATAACTTAATATATTTTAAATCTACATTTTCAAAAGGTATTGTTGCACCTAGATTTTATTAAAAAAAAAATTGAGTGATAAGATATTGCTAAGAGAAAAACTTTTGCACTGTGCCTAAATTAATACTCCCATAATATTGGGAATTATAAAAAATGTGAATTATATAATATATCAAATTGTTGAATAATTGATGAAATACTAAAATCACTTAACATAGATTAAAGGGTTTCATATCTATAAAATATCAGTAACATATACAAAAGAACACTAAAAAATTCTCAGCTCAACATGCTTCCTGAAATTTCTTGGTCAGGCTAAGAACCTTTTAATACCCCACTTGCAAACTATTTTCATTAACACTAACATCATACCAGTATACAGTAACTGTAATTCATATATAAATAAATCAGGATTTTTGAAGAGACCAAATTAAATGCTATAACAGAGAGAAGAAGTGTCCAATACTAACTTTTGTTCTCTGGTAACTTGACACTGACAAAACATTTATTTACAAACAAACCAGTTAAATTTTGTAATGTTTTTTTGAGATGAAATCTGTTTGGTTTTATAGAAGACTTTATACTATAATACTCAAATAGATAGAAATTAGTGTTATTGTTTTCAAGACAAAGTGATTTTAAGATCAATGCATTAGATCTAACTTTGTGTCATGAATGAATATGATGAGCACATTGGGCTCAAACATCAGTTTAGTAAAAAAAAAAAAAAAAAAAAAACCATTACAATATCAGCTTTTCATAGATTTTCTATTATAAAATTGTTAACATTAAACAACTTTTGGGATAATAAATATAGTAGGTATAAGGGAAGAGGGATAGTGAATAATAAAAAAGAGCAAAAAAGCAAAAAAAGGGGGAAACACACATTTCTTACTTTCATTCCATGACCAATATCATCTAAAGTGCCGTAATCAATGGCTTTGGCAATGTATTTCATTGGGCGTTCCACATGTTCAGGGAAGATGATCCCATTCTTTACTCCAGGGGGACGAGTTGCATTGCGGTTAGCTGTCAGGACACCAATCTCTCTGCGTGCAACCTTCTCTTTGTGAATCATCACCAACTGAAATCAAAAAGAAAAAGAAATAGGATGTTGGATTTAACGTCATGTCAACTCCTATTTGGGTCAATTTATGCCGAAGCCTTATTAATTTATGAATTTAAGTTGGTTATTTTGTATAAAAGATGAAAGGTTGTTGGGTTTCATAATTTTCTGTATTTTTTTTGGGATTGCTTTTTGTGACCGTTTCTGATTGTGTATTTTACTGTTTACATTCATAGATGCATATATGTCTATAAGCATATATATATATATACACACTATTTATATTTTATTGAGGATTTTATTTCCTTGAGAAACTGTATATTTTTTCTGTGTCTGTATTTTTTGAATATTTCTTTTAAATCTTTTCCATTGAGATATTTCTGTCTTATTCTAGTTATGATTTTGCATTCTGATAGAATATGTCTTATTGTGATTAGGCTTCCACATTTACATTTTTGGTGGATTTGTCTTTTTTTTAATATGTGAGAATGAGTTAAATATGTGTGTCCTATATGTGTTCTGGTTATGACAACTTGTTTTTCCGAGTATTTCCAAGATCATTTCCCCATTTTCCTATTTTAGGTTTAATTTGAAATAATTTATTTCGGTTTGGTTTTTCCATAGATTTTTGCCATTTGTTTCTTATGTATTTATATATTTTAGATTTTAAGTCTGTATATGGAATTTGAAGATTTTATCAATTGTCATTTTTAAAGATGATTTAGCAGCATTATCTGCCTTATCTCCTCCTTGGATGCCAACATGGCTAGGAATCCAGCAGAAGATGATATTTTTGCTTTTTTCCATTGAATGTAGTTTATATAGAAGACTGTATTAATGGATTTTCCAGTCTTTTCCCTTTTAGGGAGGTTAATACCGATAATGAATCTGAGAAAATAATATAGTTTTCTCCTTTGTTTTTTGATATGAAATTTAGTGCTAGTTTTATTGCGTAGGCTTCTGCACTGAAAATTGATGCTTCATTTGGCAAGCGTTTTTTGATAATTGTTTCTTTTTGTTATTGCTGCGCTGCCTGTTTTTTTTTCGTCGTCTTTTGATCCATCTGTGTAAATACTTTCATAGTTTTGATATTTTTCTTTTATTTTGAGAATTTTTTCAATGTATGTTGTGGGGTGTGTTTTTGATTTTGATAATTTGTTTAAACTTAATATTATGTTTGGATTTTTGATTATCCATGGTGGTATGTTTGTTTGGTTGGTTTTAAGTATTTGATTAGGCGGTAAATTATTTTCTTGGATGATTCCTTCCATCCGAGTCCCAATGTTTTGATTTTATTTGTGTTAAGATTAAATTTCTCTTTGTGATTTGGTGTAATTACACAATCGTGTGTGGGGTTAGAAGGACAGGAAGAGAGTTTTAGATAGTATTGAGTAGCTAGTTTCTCCATTCTTAGTTGTAATGGGGGTTCGTTTGCCTCTACATGTAGACTCTCTATAGGTGAGGTGGGATAGGCTCCTAGAGCTATCCGAAGGCCTTCATGATGTATTGTGTTTATTGGTTTTAAATAAGATTTTCTAGTTGATTGGTAGACCATGCTGCCATAGTCCAGTTTGGAGCGGATCAACGTTCTATAAAAGCTTAAGAAGGGTTTCTTTGCTAGCTCCCCATTCTGTATGGGCTACTGTTCGCAGTAGTTGGAGAGCTTTAAAACATTTTGTTCTTAGGTAATTGATATGTGGTCTGAAGGTCAGTTTGCTGTCAAAGATCATTCCTAGAAATTTATATTGCTGAACTACTGGTATTTCTTCATTTCCTAGTTTTAGAGTTGGGTTATTGTGTAATTTTTTTCATTTGGCAGAAGTGTACAGATTTTGTCTTCGTTTTGATATTTTAAAACCGTTTTCGAGTGTCCATTTGTTTATTTGATGTAAACATTGTTGAAGTTGTCTTTCTGCTGTGTTGAGGTTTCTTGATCTGTAATATATTGTAAAATCATCAACATAAAGGCTACAGTGTATTCCTGATTTGATGTTTTTTTATGTCATTTATTTTATTTTGAAAAGTGTAGGGGAGAGTACACTTCCTGTGGTACTCCCTCTTCTTGCTTTTTTTTGATAATCAGAACGTGTAGTATCTATTTGTACTTGGAAGAGTCTATCTGTTAAAAATCCTTTTACGAAGTTTGGTAGTCGACCTCTTAATCCTAATTTATGCAGATCTTTCATTATATCATGTTTCCAGGTTTGATCAAATGCTTTTTCTATATCAAAAAAAAATATGGCTATTAGATGTTGTTTGTTTAAATTGGCCTCTCTTATGGCTGTTTCTAGTCTTATTATGTGATCTATTGTACTTCTTCCTTTATTATATCCACATTGATATTCTGATATGTGTTTTCCTTCTTCTAGAAACCAACTCAATCTGGCGTTGACCATTCACTCCATTGTCTTACATAGACAGCTTGTTAATGCTATTGGTCGGTAACTTTGTGGGTTGTTTCCCTCTTTTCCTTCTTTTGAGTATGGGAATAATTACAGATTCTCTCCATATTTTGGGAAATTTCCCAGTAGTCCAAATATTGTTAAAAATATTCAAAAGGTATTTCAGCGATTCTTGTGGTAGTTGTTTAATAAATTCATAGTGGATTTGGTCTGGGCCTACTGCTGTATTATGGGATTTTTTTTATGGCTTCTATTAGTTCCGCTTCAGTGAATAGGTTGTTGTAGGCTTCTGTATTTTTAGATGAAAAATTTAATTGGTTATTTATATCTTTTTGTTTACACTTTTGTAGGTTTTGATTTTTGCTCATTTTAGAGTTTTCTGCAAATGTCTCTGCTAGTAGGTTTGCTATCTCTCTTTTTGCTAGTTGCTTTAGTGTTGTCCTTTTTAAGATGTATTATTGGGTGTATTTGATCTTTTCCAGCTATTTTCCTCATCATTTCCCATATTGTCTTGGTTTTAGAGTGTGTATTTAGGCTGTTTACATATTTTTTCCAACATTCCCTTTTGGCTTCTTTTACAGTTTTCCGTGCTACTGCTTTGAGTTTCTTCATTTCAATCAAATTTTGGGTTGTGGGTTCCTTCTTGAATTTTCACAATGCTGCTTCCGGTTTCTGACTGCTTTTTTGGCAGTTTTTGTCAAACCAGGGTTTAGTTTTTTTTAATTATTTTGCTTTTTGGTATATTTTCTGAGGCAATGTTTATTAATGTTTTGGTAAAGTATTCTACCGAGTTGTCTGTGTCCTTTGACTGTATCAGTACTTGTTTACATTTGTTTTTGAAACCCTCCCAGTTGGCTCTTTTCAGTTTCCATCTGACGGGGCCTCCCGGTGGCTAGGATCAAAGTGTAGTATCTGTGCTTTGTGAGCTGCCGAGCCGGGTGTCTGTCGAACTCTCTGCTTGAGGGGAACCCGGACAAGCTCTGCCGAAGGGGTAGGGTTTCGTTCGGGGAGGTTGATTTGAACTAGCCCGCTTGGACGGGTTTAGATGGGTTTTATTTTTGGCTGGGCCTACGGGCTCGGACATACCCACATTAAAAAGGCCTTGTGCCACATTCAATTCCTGTGGGTGAATTGATAAATACCATCTTTTCTTCCTTGGCAGGCTTTTGATTTTCTAGTATGATCGGGGTAATGATCACTGCCACATGTGTCACTATGTGTTTTCCATGTATAATCCATACAAATTTCTGGATCGCTTATACTTAAGTCTATTGATGATTCTGTTCCATTGGAGGGATTAAGGTAGGTTGAGGATTTATGATTTAATAGACATAAGTTATGGGTGTTAATTATTTCTTCTAATATTTTACCTTTAGTATCTAGCTTTTGCTATTCCATATAGGATTATGACTGTTAAAGTCTCCTAGTAAGATTCTGGGTTTGGGAAGTTGCTTCCATCAAGTTGTTTATTTCTGTTGTGTTTATTGGTTCCTGTGGGGGTATATAAATGGAAAGAATTGTGATGGTTTTTTATCTAGTGTCACTTGTGTTGCTATTGCTTGTAATTTAGTTTTAATGTGTACTTTTACTTTGCGGTATGTCATTTCTGATCAATATTGACACTCCTCCATTAGCTCTATGTCCTGTATTATGATTATAGTGGTATTGTTTATAATTTTTAATTTTTAAGTTGGTATTTTCTTGTAAAAAAGTTTCCTGTAAGCAGATGACGGCTGGATACAGTAGTGACATAAGTATGAGTAGGTCATTGTAATTTGATTTTATTCCATGACAGTTCCATTGCAGGATCTTATGTGCCATGATTATATTTTCATTTTTGGGAGTAAAGTTACCTACTAGGTTGGTATCATTTGTCCTCTCAATTTTTTTTCCATCTCTTGAGTTTTTAGAAGCTTTGTCTTCAACTGCTTGTGGTGTCCTTGATCAGATTTTTTGATTTTGTTTTTTGAATTTTGTTTATTATCTTTCTCTTCTATTTCTATATATTCCATAGGTTCAAATTTATTTTCATTTGATATACTGATTCTCGATTTTTGAGTTAGATCTTGATCGAGTGCTTTTGTTGCTCTGTTGTCACTTTTTTTCTTTTTGTTTATTTTTCATTTTCTTAGTTTGGGTTTGGAAAAGAAGAGGGTTCGCTGGAGTTTTGTTCTGTGTTTTTCTTTCCAAAGTTTTTTGCCTCCTTCTGGGTTTATTCCATTTGATCTGGGTTGTTGAGTTTTATTTTGATCCGATTTAAGTTCGGTTAAAAGGTTTTTAATTCTTCAAGGAAAGCTTTTAATTCCTTACATAGATTTGTTATTTCAATTGAACCTTTTATTTTATCTTCATTGTTTATTTTATTTGCTTTTTTGTGCCATGGAAGCATATGTGTTTTCTTTTATATTATTTATAACTTCCTTTCGTGCTTCTATGTAAGATATATTTTTTTTGTATTTTATTCTAATTATTTCTTTCTCCTGTTTATATATATTGCATTGTTTTGAGAGGGCAGAGTGGTTTCCCAAACAGTTTGAGCATAGGCTCTCATTTGGGCAGTTCTCTTCTTTGTGTTCTGGTTCCTTCTCACTACATTTCCCACATATTTTTTATTTC